GTGAATGATCCGGTGCTTCGTAATAGTCAACCTCCTAGACTCTCTTGGAATGAATATCTACGTGATTTAGAAAGTGCCGTGAATGATTCTGCTTTACAATCAGCAGAGGAATCTGATACAGATGAAGAACTTGCTAATTATGAACGAGAAAACGACGAAAGACCAGCAAATATTTATGATACCAATAGTGTACTTAAAGTGATTAATAAACCATGGAGATCTGCAAGGGTGACTGATTCATTTTAGATTTTCGAGTTAGTTGTTGTCTATTTTGTGTTTAATGTGTATCGACTAATTTCATTTTTAAAAATTAGATTGCATGCCTTCTGCACCGTTGTGGCGAAGTGGCTGGAACCAATTTATTTCGAAAAAGATGGCATAATGAAAATTTTATTGACTATAACAGCCGTCCAAAAGACGATATACCTTCTTGGTGGATTTCCACAAAATGGTCTTCCTCCAAGGTAGAATCAGGTGAAAATGAAGCCGGCAGGAGTAATGGTGGACAAAATAATTACATGAAAGATGTCGAAATTGTGCAAATTGATTAAAAAAGGTTTAGAGAACTACGTAATATTTGCAAAAAAATTTTATTATTTTCTCAATACCAATATAGTAATTACAAACTTGCTAAATTTAAAGGAATTTTAAAGCTAGTAAATATTTGTATATTTATATACATGAGATAGGAATGTTGTGCAGCTTAGAAGATATTATTACAAATTGCTTTTTTTTTCATCATAATGTTATTAAATTTTCTATTTGTTGGCATGAAAAAATATAGCTTATCCTTTTACGTATTAAACTACCTCAAAAGATTCGATTCGCTGTTAATTAGATAAGAACTATATAGATTTTCTTGAAATTGAAGTATAATTGCAAATTGATAATTTATAACGAAAGATCAGTGAATCAATTAGACCATTTTGAAATAGTTAGATTTCTTAGATATAAAATTTTCATAACTTATTTGACAAACTAAATATATCAAATATTCTAAATTTCAAATTCCATAACTTTACATAAATAGCTTTAATGAAATTGATGCATTATTTTTGTAGAGGGTTTTTGTTAAATTTTTGCATTCTTTAGAGCTAAGTTGATTATCATAAATACTTAAATCAATTAAAGTAGTATTTTTATAGAGTGCTTCTACTAGTACTTTTACTCCTTCATAACTAAGTCTATTACCACTAAGATCTAAAAATGTCAAAGTGGTGTTTTTATAAATCATATCGGCTAATATTTGCCCTTCTTTAAAAGTAAGACGATTGTTAGAAAGAGTTAAACGAGTTAAAGTAGTATTTTTGCAAAGAGCATTCGTTAATTCTTTTACTGCTTCATAAGTTGGTAAATTATTACTAAGATTTAATGATGTCAAAGTGGCGTTTTTACAAAGAGTTTCTGATAATACTTTTATTCCATCGAAAGCAACTTGATTACTACTAATATTCAAAGAAGTTAAAGTGGTGTGGGAACTCTGATTTGTTGTCGGTCAGTAGTATGTCGTATTTTAGCACCATCATCAGTGCTAATAGGTGTAATAACTTGTGTAGTTCCCGATCTTTCAGCTTGCATGGCCTGAATTTGACAAGTTAAATCATAAATTTGTCTCGTTAAGAATTGCACATAAGTTGAATCAATTTGATCCTCTTGTTTGATAACAGGATGAGGAGAATGATTGTCTTGATTTTTATGTAAATAGTTGTCTTTTTGATATTCAGGATTACGGTTACTTCTTCGATATTCGGGGGAACGATGATTTCTTCTATAATCAGGAGAATAATGATCTTTATATCTTGTAAAATAGTCTCTAAAAGATCTTCCACGACTTCTGCTTCGAGAACGGTGGCCTCGATACGGGGAACGTCGACTTCTATACGAATAATCTCTTGATACATTAGTACGATCATTACGATCATAACTATCATTACGTGAATAGTATCGATCACGGCTCCGGCTATCTCTTCTCGTGTGTCGGCTTGTACGAGAATATTCCCTTTCATCAGAGTAAGATGTGGCTTGAATAGGATACGATCTTGAGGGGAGAAAATTTTCTGAAACTTCGTTCTTTATTCTTCTATCAAGTGGAGTAAGGTCGATACGATTACGAGGCATGATAAAAATAAAACATAAATATATTGTATGTATTCTAGTTCAAAAAATTGAATGTAAGGATCATGAAAAAGAGAGGAGACATATGGATCTCTTTATATAATAGACCAGACACACTTGAGTAGTATTGTATAGACTAAACGATGACGTATATTATTGAAATTTTTTTATTAGTGACTAACGAAATTTTCACTGCATAAATTAGTCATACTAACAAAATGTCTAATGACGACTTTTGATATTGTTCAAGTATAATTTATTTGATAAAAAAATTATAAAAATTTTATTTGTAATACTTCGGAATAGCTGAGTTTTTTACAGTACATAGTAGCTACTTATCGTTGTTGTTGTTGTTTTTTTTAAATAGCTACAGTACGTATCGTTATTTTTTTTATACTTTTAAAAAACTAATACATCATCGATAAATATTAAACAATTTATCATGCAATTTTAATGTATATACGGTTTTTTATGTGAATTGATAAATTAAATATTTATTGATCCGAACTAAAACAGTTATGGATAAATGAAATTTTAACTTAAACACATAAAATCGCATAAGTTAGCTTATTTTAGTATTTGTAGGAAATATACATGTTAGGTTCGAAGATATGATCAGAGCTTGTCGTTAACGAAGAAGAGAAAAGTGCTTATTAGAATAAACATAGTTACTTCACTTATTTAATAGACGTTAACATAGCATGTCTACTTAGCTTATTAAGAAAAGATTTTAGCTTATATTTTAATTATTAAGTACGTACGTGTATTACACATTAAACTTTGAAATTATCAATGCTTATATTCAAATTAGATTCCTTTAACAATAGTCATATGATTCGTATGTCATCATGACACATATTATTTTGTCTTTTTTGATAAAGCTTTAAAGGATATCATAATTAAGCTATTAAAGTAATCAAAGAAACAAATATCTACCATATACATAAAATTTTATAAATTCCTCTTAACTGTTACTTAGCTGAAAGGTATTTTATTACACCTTAACGCAAAAAATGAATTGTCATCCGAACAATATAAAAATAATAAAATGACCTTCGGATTCATTCTAATTGTTAATAAATTATATGTCTTTTTTTATCTCTAATGCAAAAACGTTAGCTACATCATACCGAAATGGTGACATCGATTTTTTTTCAAGGAATAAAACCGACCGAGAACTAAATATTTCAATTCAACAGTTCTCAAATATTATGATAATT